GATATAAACATAACAACGCAATTGACACAGTTAACTGTTTATATCACTTTGTTTCAAAAGTATGTTTACTAATTGATGGTGACGTCACTGTGCAATTGAGGTATACTACATCTTTATAACCTTTATTTCTTCATTTTATTTTGTAAAAAAATTTTGGTAAATCTATAGATATAAACTAGAAATGTTATGCAACGTCAAACACACACATTTATTTTAACATAATGGACGTCACATTATTTCGCAGATTGTGGACTATAGAAGTGGCCATTTGAAAAATCACGCCGTGCTGCACAGGCATCTATCAAACACGTATGCCTAAATGTCGCCGTTTGCCGGCGTAAGAGTAGGTGTGGCCGCCTTGAGATGCGTCTCAAGGCAACACATACTTAATGCCAACTTTATAACTCTTATAGAGACAGATCTCAACGATTTTAACGTTCTAACGTTCTAACTCTTAGAGTCAACGAGATGTTATCGGTTTTGTTTTTCGAGTTTTGTGTTTTTCGTGGAAGTTCATATCTCGGTAACTATACGTGATACATGAGTTTATATTAAGCATGTAGGTTTTAATGATGCCACAAATACGAATTGTTTCTTTCTCATTCAGTCAAACCCACAAAACCCGGAAAACAAAAAATTCAAAAATCTCGGAATCTATAAGAGCTAGAAAATTGTGCTTAAAAATACGTATTCGGGAGATGCCACTGAAACTTGCCACGAGTTTTTATAGGGCCACGCCCACTCTAACACCCATAAACCGCGGAAAACTGTGGCGTGTATAATATTATAGTCTATGTATTCGTTTGACCTTGTATACCATATTTTGTTCAACATCTATTGATTTACCAAAAAACTTTTAAATCGGAACATTATTTCGCTATGAAGAAATTTGGGTTAAAGGCCTCACATGGGCAGTGACGTCACTATCAATTACTCAACATGCTTTCTCTGACAATAGGTGGCGCTTTGTGAATTTTACAATAGCAAAATAAATATTTTAAAATTGTGAAAAACAGTAACGGGTATCTTACAGTCGCAATACAATAATGAATGTGTTGGCCAAGTTAACAGAAGCGAGATCTGCCTTGAAAAGAAAGTTTGATGACCTCAAATATGTTTAAAATCAAAGCGTTATAGAGTTGGAGGAAACATTTAAGCCTATTACAGAACCTTTACATGAACTTGTTAACGAAAATAAAAATCAGAGATTTTTAAAAACAAACGAAGGTGCCAACATTGAACGTGAATTATACCAAAATGAAAGGTTTTACAATGACGAGACAAATGGCGATGACTTGTACTATACATCCGACGGGAGAGAACATCAGACACCGAAACTTATCTCAGTACCGAACTACGAATGCAGTGATTCGTATAATGATTTCTTTTCACAAACAAATGTTTCTGAAAAAGAAAGAAAGACGAAACACATAATTACGCGGTTTAAGACAGTGAACCGGAACCCAAAACAATGCTTACAAAAGAAAATAGAATGAGTGAAGATATAACTATATATATTTTTGTTTTTAATATATCTACTCTAATTAAACCATATTCCCTCCTCTCGCAGTTCCTCTATTATTGGGAAAATCTTATTATTTTGATTGTTGTTACCCGCTGTTTTTGATGCCACTAAAATTTGTAACCGTTGGACTAGTTCAGTCACATCATTCCAATATATATATATTTTGGCTTTGATTCCTACAGAGTCATATAACCGAAACCAGTCTTTGTACGAAGTGGAGTGGGTGTTGTAGGATTTTCATTATCATTTATTATTTTTTTAATAATTTTAGCGTAAACCTTTAATTCCAATTTTCACGTTATAACCACCTTATCTATAAACATTTGTTTCTAAAATAATATTTTTATATATTTTTAATAAATGATAATTCTAATTTTTGGGATGTTTATGAAATATAAGAGAGTACAGACCTTGAGTTAGCTTGCAACTCTTTCCAATAGACAAATGAATCTTATTATCAATCATTTTAAGTACACTATTCCCTAATGTTAATACATTATCTGAACTTTTTTTTAGGTCCATAAGCCTTATCCAATATATTTTCCCGACTCAAATGGCTGATATTAAAATCATAATTTTTATTATCTATCTCATCTTCTACATTTATATCTTCCCTCATTTCATTTTTTCTGTAGGCATTTATATAGGTTCCGTCTCACTCTCTTTGGCTGCATAATAATGTGTTTCGTCTTTCTTTCCTTTTTCAAAAACATTTGTTTGTGAAAAATAATCATTATACGAATCACTATCATTCATAGATCGGTAGTGAGATGATTTTCTGTTTGTCTGATGTTCTCTCCCATATCATTCCGATAAATATAATTTAGAATTGATTCCTCCATTCCTCTTGTTAGATTTTCAATGTCGTTCATTAATTACACCCGTTACACGTAGAGTAAAAGGGTATACCAGACTCGTTGAAAAGTATGTAACAGGTATAAGGCGTATAAGCGTTTCCGACCATATAAAGTATATATATTCTTGATCATTATCAATAGCGAATTGAGGTCCTTACGCAGCGCAAGTTTATAACAGCATCCTGCCACGCCTTCTACAACTCCCAAAAATCACGGAAAACTAGAATCTTTGTAATCTCAGGAACTATTACAGCTGTAAAGTTGAGATTTAGTATGAATAATCTTGAAATGCTGGAGCATTTTATGATGGTACCATAATCCGGACACGCCCAATCTTACGCCCACAAACCTGAATAGACGGCTTTCGCATTTTGTAGAAAAGCTGATAACTCGGTAGCTATAAGTGATAGAAGTTTGGCTGAAGCATGTAGGTTTTAATGGTGCCCCAAATGCGAATTTTTTTTCCCATCTAGCCACCCCCACCCTGACACCCACAAAACCCCGAAAACCGAAAATGCCCTCTCTGACGCCCCCAAACAAAAAACATAAAAAAACAGTAACGAGTATCTTATATTCGCGGCACTCGACTATAGCGTTTCTTCCTGTTTTTTATTTCTGTTTATTTGTATTTAACATAATTCTGTGCGTTTTATGTGCCGGTTTTAATGTAAATTTTGACTCCTATTCTATTTGTACTACTAAATTCTTTTTGTAAATTTAAAATTTTACCGAATACATATTCCCATGAACAATAATCATGTGCCATAGAAAGTGTTGTATTGAAAAAGTATGTAATGTCAAGAATGTAAATGTAAAGATAAGCATCTCAATCTGTTTTGTAAGACGAGATATTTGTACTAACGTATTCGTTAAATATTCGGTAGCTTCTTTCTACTGTTCCTAAGGTCTGGTGATGATCACTGATAAAAAAGTATACCCGTTACTCGTAGAGTAACAGGGTCTATTAGATTCGTTGAAAATTATGTAAAAGGTAGAAAGAAGCGTTTTCGACCCTGTAATTACTGATCAGGATCAATATAGTAGTCGAGTAAGCCATGTCTGTCTGTCCGTCCTTCTGCCCGTCTGTTCGTATGAACCCTGAGATACAATGCTGAGATTATGCATGCAGATACTTAAGGTTTCCTACGCAGCGCAAGTTTATTTCCTGCCACGCCAATCTAACGCCCACAAATCTAGAAAATAAAAACCCCTGAAATCTCAGGATCTATAAGAGTTAGAAAGGGAAGCTATAATCTTGAGATGCCAGCACAACGTGATAGAAAGTTGGGATTAAGAATGTAGTTTCAACTGATACCCACAATGCATATAATCCAAAACCGCCACGGCTCGAGGTGATTTTTCATCCGCCAAACCCACTCTAGCTCCAACAACTCGCCAAAAACTGCGGCGTCCATAATAATAAAATGAATATTTTCTTTGACCTTATATAACATTTCTAAATAATATCTATCGATTTAGCACAGATTTTTCAAATAGGAATATGTTGATATTTATTACAAAATGTAACTTATGTATATTGGCCTGACATTGGCAATGACTTCACCATCAGTTAGTAAACATGCTTTTTCTGACAAAAGGTGTCTCTTTCTCAAAAATGATTTGGCAAATGGATTATTTTAAAATTGTATAAAACAGTACCGGGTTTCTTATCGTCGCGCCACTCGACTATAGCGTCTCTTCTTGTTTTCAATTTTATTTTGTTCTGTTCTGTGCTCTTGGGATTCTTCGCATTCGCATGCTTTGAAAAAACGTCCAAATCAAATGTATCTATGTTATGTATATTAAACAATTTATTATACCTATTAGGGTATAAAGCAGGGATACTCAAAATCGTCTTACGGCAGAACATTTACCAACACAAATACAAGAAAACATGTATATGTTTAATAAAGTTATTTTTGTTGGTTTAACGTTCAAAGAGAACGAACCACTTTTTTTTGCTATCCAATTCATCACTCATTTAACTGACCCGACAAATGCAAAATAAAGTCTGCATTTCAAACAGAAGTTACAAAGAATGAAATTCAGTGCGAGTGTTCGAAGATGTTCCAAGAAAAAACAAAAACAAATTATATTGCAGTTGGCGACGGAATGAGACGGAAAGAGGAAAACGAAAAATTGTTAGTGTAATAACGTCGCGAACGGTCAAAGCTTATGAGCGAGCAAGCCATATGCTCCTAGCATTTACTAAAACAAATGAGCTCTCAGAGAATAGGCGTTGAGCACCCCTGGTATTAAGTAATCTTTATTGATTCCCAAAAATCAATAATAACAAATTCATATTATGAAAATTGAACACTATTTTTTGCTTTGCACTTCGCAAATTCAGACTTTTATTTTAAATCGGTAACAATTAGAAGCAATGTGATTTATTAATATAGATGCGAACCGTCATAACTTCAATAAGCCAGATGCAAAAATAATTTTAAATAACTTGCAATAATGTTGGATAAGCTATGGTATGTAAGGTTTTGATTAAAATTTTATTTTTTTAACGTACAAATAAATATCGGAGAACCAGTTATCTACAAAAATATGTACGTATGAATAAATATAAAATAGTACATTATTATATTAGAAATCTTAGAAAACCTTACCTTAAGCGCATGGTGCCGTTTCTGGTCGTATTTAGTAATTTTGCATTTAGCTTAAAATTTGTAGTGTCACTATTTCCAATACCCAGCTGGCTAGCACTTGTACGCGGTAAACGATGATTTTCATTTCCTGCTAGAGCTCTCGATGGCCCATTAAAGCTAGTTGCGTTTGCACTTGGTAATACATATGGAGTAGTTATAAAAAAATAACACGTCAGTACTAGAGCCAATTTACTGCTCAATATTTGGCCCCAGAACATTATTTGAAATGCTGCCATGACTATCAACTATTAGAATGTCTAAAATTATTTATTTTCCATGTTACTCAGTTTTTATTGTCAGCAAATTTAAATAAGACTTTAAGCATAGCCGAAAGTTTAGATATGACTGAAATAAACTATTTATTTGGTCAGCTTAAAAGGAATAAATTTATTTTCAGCAAAATAAATATTTACAGTAGATAGCTCATTACTATTTCATATAAAATTCTGTTTAATTTTTTATTGTATATTATAATTCTGTTTTAGTCTTTTCAGTATAAAAAAGCGACTAACTCGTTTGGTGAAACTTCTGTGTTTCTCTTAAAGTGCAGCCAATAATCAACCATAAGCACCATTTCCCAACATGCCGAGAAACACACCACAATGGAACTTGTTTACTCTGTTTGAAAGTGAGAGTCGCTTTCAGTTCATTACGGCACAAAAGCACATTTTAGTTATCAAATCTGAAGTGATATTTTTAAAAAATACCCAAAAATGAAAATAAGGCATTATATCTTCTATATTTGATAAAATAGTTTAATTGGTTAAGATATAATTCATTTACGATTCCTCGGTGTATTTGAAATCATATTTGATATACAGCTTTTGACAGCAATATAATTAAAATTAAACACAAATATGCTTTATACGGTCCCAACCACAAATGGGTCTAGTGAAGTTGTGCATGACGTCAGTTCTTATTCGAACTATTTTTAATTTCGCTAACATAATAAGGGTTAGTAGGAACGCTATTTTTATACATTTTAAATTTTAATTGGACATATTCAACGAAGTTAAGTTTATATAAATTTGAGCGAAACAATGTTGTTTCTCTTATTTCTTGCGTATACATAAGTAAAGCAATACATACGTTTCCAAATTAAACTTAGCTCAACAGAACTAATAGAAATATGATAGTGAAATTCATCGTAGCAAATCGCATATACGGCTACAACTTTATTATTCAAAACCATGAATCTTATATGTCCACTTACTGCAGGGTCGAATATGTAATAAATGCCCATATCAACCAGGTTAAAAGCCCAAAAACAATTACTATAGCCAAAAAATGTCGAAAAGCTTATTATTTCTAAGGTAGTGAAAATTTCATTATTGTATCATTAATGTCGAAGACATGCAGTACATATCATTAAACCTGTTTGTCACTTAAAAAATTGAAAACATATCACTTTTACTCAACTAGTCATTAATGACATGGGACAGAAGTCTTTGAAAGATCATGATTTTCCTTTTCTCATAAGCAAATGTATCGTATAAAATTTATTGCACAAAGCTCAATACGCCGTAAAAAATTTGATTTTACGACAGCCTAACCATCTCTCCTCCATAACTTTCTCTTAAGAGTCACTTTTAAAGTTACAAAACAAAAAGAAGCGCCATAATCGAGTTCCGCCACAATAAGATAACCGATACTGTTTTATAAAATTTTAAACTATTTATTTTGGTAGTAAAAGTGGACAAAGCGCCACCTTTTGTCAGAAAGAGCATGTTGAGTAACTGATGGTGACGTCATTGTCTATGTTAGGCCTGATAACCTCCATATCTGTATAAATAGCGAAACAATGTTTCGATTTGAAAAATCTTTGGTAAATAAATAGATAAAAACTAGAAATATTATACAAAGTCAAACAAAGACATACATTTTAATATTATGTTCGCCAAAGCAAACCCGTCTTTCGAGCTCGGTGGGCGAAAGAGTGGGCGTGGCCGGAAAGAGGTTCCATTATAAGGAGCGCTGGCATCTCAAGAATACACTGACTTAATCTCAACTTCCTAGCTCTATTAGCTTATAAGCTTTCAGGGATAGACAGATTATCAGACTTCGCTTTTTATACTGATCAATAATATATATGTGGGAATGGACAACGAAGCTCAAACCACGTAAACCAGTCAACGAAGACGACAACAAGATGAACGATGTTAACTACGAAAGAAGCGACATGAGGATCGCCGAGTTGTTGAGAAATGACGTGCCCAGTGAGGAGCTAATAAGACGCAGATTTTGATTTAAAAAGTGACGGAAATAAATCGAGCCAATGATAAACACATAAGACGCGAAGAAGTTTTAGTCAAAATAGTGTAACATAAACTTAAGTTAATCAATAAATATAATGTAAACTTGAATATATTAAAAAAAACGGACCACTACCACATTAAATTCGAGATATAAAATAAATAATGGTAACTAGGATTATTTGTAAACAGCACTTACAAACAATATTACTGGCTGTGGGTTTTTTCCATTTTAGGTGCTTCTAGCTGGTTTTTTTTCCCAAGATCTCGTTTCTAGTTTTTCGCATTTTGTGGGCAAAAGTGCGAGGCCGGATGCTAAAATAATGTTGCGCTAGGCATCCCAAGAATCTGTGCGCTTAAACCATTTTTCAATACAAATTATAAAAATTGTGAATAGGTTCCGCACTAGAGCTGGAAAATCATCCATTGTCTTCCATTTGATATGTTTGAGATGTTTTGAGAGTGAAAACTCGAAACTATGTGGCGGAAATTATAAACATTTTAATTGATGGTTATTTTTAATATATTTTTTAAATTTTATATATTTAGTACTTTAGATATCAAATTAATGAAACATTTCAATATGAGATGAAACACGATCGATAGTAACCATTGGGATCTGACTTCGTATCAGCGAGATGCATAAAAATATGGCTCTGCTGTTGCTTCCGCTCTCACTTTTTCTGAGAGCGGGAGCGGAGCCATAGCAAAAAAACGAAAACTATCTGTGTAACCGTAGCCGAAAATTAAGAGCGAGAGCAGAGCAAACAACTTTTTTTTGTGCTCTAGCTCTCGCGTATTTTCCTTCGGCTTTTCTGCTTTTCGGCTATTCTAGCCTTCCATTCGGAAGGTCCAATTTTGCGTCATTTTTTCGAGCATTTCTGTCTGTAATCCACAAATCACGCGTGTTACTCGTGTTTGGCTTGCCTACATAGACTAAACCCTTACATAGCCCCACAAAAAATCGAGGGGCGTTAAATCGCATAATTCCTGTATGGCATTTGGCTGTTCATTACTTCAGATGCGACAGTTTTGCTTATTAACGTATCCACTTATCTAGTAATGAGCCTTATCGCTGAAACCAATTTCCACAGATCAAGAAATTTGATAATACATTTCAACAATTTAAAATCGTTGCTCGTTTGTAAGTCTTTCCATTATGAAATGCCAGAGTGTACTAAAAATTTCTGACTTTGTCAGATGACGTTTGGACACAATTACCAATCAGTGCTGCCAGAATGAAAACCATAACTCTTAAAAATCACCCTATATATCTCCAGTTGAGGAAGTAAATGAGGTAGGTGAAATGGAGGTCACTTCAGATGGTTGAATGTAAGAGAGGCAAAGAAGGTTTTGCCCTTCCTTTGATTTCATTAATAACAGAATAGAATAGAATAGAATTAAAATAGAGTTATTTAGAGATAAAGTAAAAAAATTGACAATAATTTTATTATTTAATTTTATTTTATTATTTTGTTTATTGTATGCACACCACGTGTAGATTACCTTACATTTGAACATAATCTTTCTGTTTCTTTATTCTTTTTTGTCAACTATATCTAGTTTATGATTTATGATTAAGTTATATTTGCACGTTATTAAAATTGTGTTTGCGTAGAAGAAGTAGGGGGCGGTATACAGTTTTTATTTTTTAGACCTGATGGTAATTCTGAAAGATGAATTGAAACAATGACTGCGGACCTGGTTTTGGGAGCCGCGGAATATAGCCCCCATCCTTGAGCTGCTGGAACATTTATTGGGCAACTCTCCGGGTCTGTACCTCGTCACCTCACCCAATTTCAAAAAAATCTACTCACTCATTGTCTATTTGATCATTTTACTTGACAATATTCTTACACATTAACTTAAATTCCTAATTTCCTAACCTGGGTACCACAGGGAGCAATACATGATACATATATAAATAATAACAAGAATACAAAAATAAATAAATAAATAATACTAGGAATAGTTATACGGGGTAGATTATTTTACGTGGGAGTATATAAATATAACGGAGTGTAAGTTATAGGGGTCTTAATAATTTTTTTCAATTAGCTTATGAACGGAGTGTTAGAATATAAAATAAAAACAACCGCTTTTTGTTGCAATACATACGTTTGTGGACTGTATATTGTATATTTTATTCGATATAATATGGCTATGGCCTGCAATTGCCTTCGTATGTTTATTTTTCTTATAAAATATATGGCCAATATTATTATTATGACAACTGTTAAGATTAACGAAGTATGGTATTTATGCGTATTTAGATCATTAATTTTGTTCAAGAGGTTTTTAATATCTGCTGTTTGGTTAACTAAAGGTGTACCTAACGGATTCCAAATAACTTTAGGTATCTCGCTCATCTCTCCTATGTGTGCCAACGCCAGTGTCCCTTGATCTTCTAACTGAATACTGTGATGAGCTACCAAGATATCATTATCTGTTCAAGCAGTACAATCAGATCTAATTGTTAAAATCCCTTGTTCCGGTAAATCAATTATCTCTAAATTCGAGTTGCTGCATTGAACTCGAGCCTTTGTATTAACCTGAACCTTAAACAGCCAACTACTTCTTCGGTCTAATTCAACCCAAAATGACTTATCGTCAGTGATTGCATTGTACCTACACTTTGACTATCTAATTGGTTTAAGTGGCAGTTAGCTCACAACTGTTATCGTTGGCACTCCTCCAAGGCCATATCCATATTATACAACTCCTGGTCTTTCATGGGATGCAATGTTGAATACAACAAAAATAGAACTAGAACTACTAACCGATATTCATATGTATAATGACTAATCACTATGACTATATATATCACTATGTTGACTTTAATTGTTTGTACTTCAAACATGGCCAATCCCTCAATACCGTTGTGCGCACGTGAATCAAAAACCATTCCTTGGCCTGACCATATACCAGACAGTGAAAAGATCGAAGGACCTCTTCCCACGTGACTTGGTCCATCTGCAAATGCTCTATCCGGAATATAAAATCACAAACCTGCATAACCCTAGTTATGCTATCGAAAGATATGCCCCATTTCATGGGATGGCTCATCTCGGGTTTATATTTCTTATGTCCGTCACTTGGATTTCCATCTGGTCTTCCGGGAGCTGGAACTCCTGGCCTCAAAAAGGCGGGGGTTGGCTATACTGATGCCAACCCGCACATACCCTCTGCTGCTCTTTCTCGGGTCTGTGGTCTGCTCTGTGCTGCGCTGGATTTGGAATTGGTGCTTCAATCGATGGTCTAGGGTGAGACTCCTGAGTGTGTACCGTTGTCTTCCCGGTAGGGCGGACGAGTTGATTGATTTATCTCATGAAACTTATCACGTCCTGCTGCATTTATTTTTGGAAGGTGCAACCTCCACTGACGCCTCTTTGCGGTATGTTTCATGCGCTTGGAATAGGGCTAAATTAATGGCTGTTTCTATTTCTTTAGCCAAAAGCACAGGACTCCCACTGCTCCCGACATATCCTCCTGGTGGCTGATCTCAAAGACTGTGCACCCATCCATCGCCAACCCTTAAGGAGGAGAGATATATTGTTCAGCTCTTGGTTCTCTTTCTGACTGGCCCGGGAACGTGTAGTTGACGCAGTCATTATTTCGGATCCACGATCAAAAAAATCTCTAAATCCCTTCATATTTTTCTATTAAGTTTCTGTCTGCTTCTCTAGCCTTCTGACATATCTTCTCTTCCCGTCCTTCTTTTTTAACTTTTCTGTCCTACTATTGTTCTGCTAGGGGGGAGTGATGACGAGTGCTTTAATCAACCCGATGTACCTTCATATTCCAAATCCTTTTCGTTTCTTTTCTTTTTCCCGTAGCAAGGACCACGATAGCTGGACGTTGCAAGCCGATCCTGATCTCCTATGGAGTTTTCTAGACTTCTCGCTTCCGACGAACGTGATAAGCATCGCCGGACCAGGATATACTCTGCCTGGGTCCCGTGAGCATCTCCGCGATCGTGGCCTTCGTGGTTGCATATCTCGCCTCCTAGTGAGACTTCTAAGACTTGCTCTATGTAGCAATTTTCCAGGACCACCACTAGTTGTCGAGGACCAGCCGGAGATTCTATCCCTTTCTCTTCCTGTCTTTTTATATTTAATTGGGCACCATTCAGTTATGCCACGACTTTTTATCAGGGATCATACCATCGGGTTCCGGCTAGTCATCGGGTTCCTCAGGTGTTAGTAGGACACGATGATTGGATCTGTCGGCATACAGTGTTTATTTTTACAGACCTAATGATAATTCTGAGAGATGAAACGAAACAATGACTGCGGTCCTGTTTTTGGGTGCTGCGGAAATTACCACCCCCCATTTTTGATCTGCTGGAACATTTTTTGGGCAACTCCTCGGGCACTGGATAGTGGGTCTGTACCTCGTCACCTCACCCCATTTCAAAAAATCTACTCACTCATTTTCTTTTTGGTCATTTTAGTTGACAATATTCTTACACATAACATTAACTTCATTTCCTAATTTCCTAACCTGGGTACCACAGGAACGAATATATGATACTTATATAAATAATAGCAAGAATAAATAAATAAATAATAATAGGAAGAGTTATATGAGGTAGGGTATTGTACATGGGACTATATATGTATAATAGAGCGTAAGTAATTGGGCTATTAATAAATTTTTAAAATTAACTTAAAATTAAAAAAAAAACCTGGCGCCATCCAGATCTGCAACTTCCTGTTAATTTCCTTTTTCCTCCCAGACTTCTAGAAATTTTCGCTCGGGTTCTGGAAACACAAAACCACAAAAACCTCTTCTCAGCTCTTAGATCGCTTTGACATGCCTATTAAATGCAATTCTTGATACTCCGGAACCAGTTCCTCAGGCCATTTTTTTAATTTTTGCAGACCATAACACCATATTGTGGTTCCGTTCGCTTGCTGGCGGAGCAGGAGTATAATTGGGGCTGCAAACGCAGGCCACGCCCACGCCCTGGGATTGAGAGTCTTAAGCTCTATCGACTGAGCTAGCCGGGCTATTGCCTAGATAAATATTTGCACGCGCTTCGGCTTTAACTATTGCTTCAGATCTTTTGCATGGAATACTCCCAATCGTCTCCCTTGTATCCAAATGACATTACTACTCGGCACCTGAAGTTAAGTTAATCTGAGGATTAAGTTTCGCTTAAAGATTTCTTGGCCAACT